GTGATACTCGAAGCCTGGTTTCGGCAAGTTCTGATGTTATAATGACCCCATGCCGCAAACTTGATAGAGCAGGTACGATGTGATGAGTCCGTGAAAGCCGCTCATTAAATTTGGTTTTGTGCGGTCGTCGTGCGTCTTGAATGTAAGATCCATGGAATGGAATGGTCTTGTGTCCGACGGAGATAGATGACGCCCCTCATCACCCCAGCGTGTTGATACACAATTAGGCACGGAAGCCATCCACAACGCCATCAGGGCAGGGGGAGTGCTTGTGAAGGCCAAAAAAGAAGACACCGTCGTCGAGGGCTAGCTCTGATCGCATTACCTGTCGTTCTCTAGGGTTGTGTTGCCATCGTGGGAGAGTACCTCCGGGCCACCCATTCGTCTGATGAGTATTTGGGGGTTGACTTGTCTGTCCTTTTGTCTGGGTTAGAGGGCCTTTACTAAAATGAGATGTCCTTCATTCTAAGATCCTGTGAGACCAGCGTTGAAAGAACCACGACGCTGTCACATAGGAAGGATAGAATGCCTTGAGAAGGCCGTATGGATAATAACTTGCACGATTTTATGAATGAGGGAAAGGAAGCAAGTCGTGGCTGTGGCTGTCACGGCCGGCGACAAGCGAGGTTTGGGTGCGTAATGATTGTGTCAAGGTAAATTGGACGGTCAAGTTTACTCCGCAGGTGATCATTCGAGAGGACTATCCTAGACTTCAAAGTCCAAATCCATAGGATCACAATGCAGACAAAGATGAATGGGATAAGAAGAGACAAGACATAAAAATGGTCACCCGCGGAGGAGGGTGCTAACTAGTAGTAGGCTTGAGAGAGTCTCAGGGAACATGCCAATCATATGTTCCTTCCTTCCCTTTGTTTCGTTTTTTTTTTAACTCATTCCAAGGGATTGACAATAACGAATGGTGTCTCTTGTATGGTCACGATTATTTCCAAGAAGAGGAAAATGAACAAGGGGTGACAGTGACAGTATTCCTTCGAGTTCGAGTTCAAGGGGGGAAGTATCTTACTCGGCTTTTGATGGGATCTTTGCATCATCACAACATCAGCGAGCACGGCGGAAACCGAAACCCGGAAACTTGGCTAGAAAAGCCGTCTCCGAGGCCCCTTTTCCTCAAATTCAAATGAATGAGATCTGAAGTGAGAAGAAGAGAAGAAGGAGAAGAAGAAGGAGAAGAAGAAGAAGAAGAAGAGAGGAGAGGAGAGGGGAAGTAGAGGAGAAGAGAATAAATAAAAATAAAAATAAAAATAAAATAAAATAAAATACAAATTATTAAATAAATGATCATATCATGATCAATCAATAACAACACACAATAAATTGAATAAATGAATGGAATGGAATAGGAATGGAATGAATGAATGAATGAGAATGAATGAGAATGATCAAACCCCATCCATCACTCCTCCCTTTCACCAACTCACTAATAACAACAACGACAACGACAACAACAACAACACCAACACTCTTCTCGTCCCTCGGGGTTTCAGAATTTAAGAACCGCCACTCATAGTTAACAATAATCAGTTCCTAAAAAACTGACCCGTACATAAATTGTACATAATTTGATTTATTATCTTTTCCTTTCCTTTCCTCAGAAGTACGTCAGAGGCACACCCACTAGAAGTGCTTATCAGAATCGTCCTGGAAAGGCAACTTATACAAGTTCGCAAGGTCAGTCGAGCGCTCAGCGTCAGTCACCAAAACAATAAATCGCGCCTGCGAGACCGACGCAGTACCGAGCATGGACATGGTCATGGTCTCATAGAATTGAACACGGCACGGAATCAATCACCTTCCCCCTTCCCCTTCCCCTTCCCCCTTCCCCTCCCCCAAACCCGATCTCTCTCTCTCCCCCCTTCGTTCGTGTAAACATAGACAGGCCACGAACACCCTCGCGAACCCTTCCCTACAAAATTGGAAAAGAATACATCTCTCTCTCCTCCCCCCCCCTTCCCTTCCCGTCCCTCATCGCGGTAGAGCTCAACCATTGGAAATGTCGTAAACTGCGTCTGGGCAGTCAGGTTACAACGTGTCACGACTAAGAAACTTGATGCCCAGTCGTCAGTACAACCCATAGCCTCCCAACCATGATCAACTTTCGGAGTGAAGACCCCTCTCTCCACCGTAGATTGTTGAATTGAACAGAACAGAACTAGACTAGACTGGGTTGTTCAACACACACACGCTTTCTGTGTTGCTTGTGTGTTGTGCGTGTGCCGACCTTCTTCAGTTTCGGGTTTTCTAAATTTAGCAATTCATCTCAGGGTATTTTACGTGAGCACTGCACACATCTTCTCCCTCCCAACCCCCCCCTCCCCCATCTCCCCCTTCTTGCCTATTGGATGAGAAGGTTGAGATATTTCAAATGTCGCCGCTTGAAAGTCCTTGTTGCCTTGCTCTCTACCTGACATATCGTGTACTCGATCGGCTCACATTCCAGTTTCCGGCGTGATTGCGTTAGAACGAGATGCACACCCTAAAGCAGGAGAAAGAACGCCCCCGGCCAATCGAGTGAATGGAGGGGAGATTACATTTAACGCGTAGCGAGAATACAGTGCTAACCAGGCTTTAATTTCTCTACAACCACTTGAAAAATGGTTCCTATCAGACCAGGAAACATGACCATGTAACATTGAAAGGACGTGGCAAATGTGAGGACAAAAAGTGTTGAGAGCGTGCAAAAGGGGTGGGGAGAGCGACGTAAGAGGAAGAAGATAGCAAGCAAGAGAGAGATCATGCATTAAAGGACACCCGTGATTACAGTGCACACATTCAAATAGTGGTCCGGGGCAACTGAGGCAATTATTGGCTATCGGCACGGCCGCTTGAATATACCTCGTTAGAGGGAATTTGTGGGGTCCAAACTTCTTTCCTACTCGAACTGGGACGAGAGGAACTAAGAATGTTCGATCAGATAATCAGTGCGTGGGGTGACGGCACAAAATCCAAGCCTTACGCATCCTTGGATTTTCGGTTGGGTTTGGGCCAACCCCAAACCTCACGGATCCATCGCTCCATAGGCACCTCCTGCTTCATGATTCTAACGACCCAGGGATGGGAAATCATCTCCTTTGGCGTCGGACGCAACGCTGGGTCGACCCGCAGACTAAAGAGATAATGATGATGTCAGGATAAGTACATGTAGGAGAGGGTGGGAGGGGTGAAAAGCCGCACGTCTCTTTGATGAAGTCCTTCATAACATCGCTCCAGCGTACGTCTGCTTCGTCCTCTAGTTGGGGTGGCTAGACGTAATAATAATAAAAAGCAGGATAAAACACGCCGCGCGATAGAAAGGTGAAACAAACACGCACCTCGCTTTGTGTAATATAGATCATGAGTTCGATGGGCGGCATATCGCTGGGGAAAGGGAAACGATTTTGCACGAGCTCGAGGAGGGACAAGCCAGTCGACCAGACATCCGCTCTGATGGAATATTCGAGACCTGAAAGGCGTTCGGGCTGCAAGGCATGCGCATGTTAGATGTAGAAATTACGTGACAAAAATGAATCAAGACAGACGGCCATGTAGAGACTTGTACCAGTGAACGTGCCCGCTACAGACCCGATCAATTCTCCTGAAACGCCAAAGTCGCAAAGTTTGACGACTCCCTCGCGGGAAAGGAGGATATTAGAGGGCTTAATGTCTCGGTGAATAAGCTTCTTGGAGTGAAGGTACGCTAGTCCCTGTAATATCTAAAGTAGTGGATGAACAAGGCTGATAATATAAGATTGCGGGAGTGCGCACCCCTTCCGCGAGCCTCCCTGCGACCTTTTCACCCACTCTTGCACCACGCTCCTTGATGCGTTTGCCCACAGCTTCCAAACTCTTTCCTTGGCATATTTCCATCACCACCTTGACTTCGCTGGATGATGGGGACATGTAGGCACCGTAAAATCGAATGATGTTGGGATGCTTGATTGTAGTGATAATGCCAAGCTCGCGTACGAGCTGCTTCATCGGGGCCTCGCGAGTGGTAATGGTCTTGCGCGCCAGGAGTTTGCCCGTACGCCTGTCCCTGACCTCGTGTACGGCACCACCGGCACCTTCTCCAAGCCGGGCAACTTCATCGAAGATGTCGTCTGACCACTCAGTCTGTGGCTGATCATCGATCTGCTCCTCTCCGGGGTATGTGGGTGGAGGGGCGTGGAGCGGGTCTGAGCCTCGATATCCGTTATCGTACGACGAACATCTTCCATCGAGAGCGGCCTGGACGTATTCATAGATGGACGAATAGTAGCATCATCGACGCCACTGTCATTGACTGGAGGTGAAACGGAAGGTGTCTGTGGACCACCATAGTAATCGCCCCCGAAAACGGCTACTGCTGCTGGCTCACTTGAAGGGCGGGAATTGGAGGTACTGATGGCGAGCTTGAGGGAAGGTTTACCTTTGCTCGGGGTGGTAGAGAGAGTTGGAATTTGAAGAGCTAGCTTTGGAGTTGGTGAACGAGATAAGGGAGGGCTTGGAGGCGTGAGAAGAGTGGCATTCTCTGGATTGGACACAGACGATTTGCGTTGGACAGAATGAGGTGCGGGGGAGGCGGACCTCTGGAAAGTACGGGGACCAAGTGGACGAGCGGGAGTATGAGCCTGACCACTTGAGCCTGTGGAAAGTACCGTGGGAGACATTTGAATACGGTCAGAGGACAAGGTGGAAGGGGTTAAGATCGTTAAAAGAGCCTAAGAAGGGACACGACTACCGAAATGCCAGTTGGAGTGCTAGTAAGAGTAAGGAGTAACCAACCCACGCAATGCTCATGTCATGGCCCAGTAAGGGTGAAAGAAGGTGGTGGAAACGGGGGGGGGAGGCTGATAGGTAGTGGGGGTTGTGGGAGGGAGGGAGGGAGGGAGGTTGAGTGGAAGGCGGTTAGGGAGGGGATGACCCTCGCCCTTGCCTGGAGCTGGAGCCTGGACCTTGACTTGCTCCCCTTAGCTCCCCTTAGTATACACTTACCATTATCTCTCTGATATAAATTTTATTGTGGTACTGTGGCCGAGTGGTTATGGCGTCACGTTTAGGTAAAATACGACCTAAATCCGTGATGGGAAACCTCGCGAGTTCGAATCTCGTCAGTGCCAACATTTTTTTTTTGTGGTGGACGTGGTGGACGTGGTGGACTGGTGGACCATATCACCGGATCCCCAAAGGACACATACACACCCCCCCCACAACCCCCTCAAACCACAACTTTTCAATTGTTTTATATAGCGTTTTAAAATGAGTGACTATAATGGAAACTAACATAACATGTTATCCCACTTTCATATCCCATTGCCAAATTCCTCTCTCTTTGATGCTGATGCTGATGCTGATGCTGATGATGATGATGATAATGATGATAATGATACCCACCTTTCGTCTACTCCTCCTCCTGTTCCCCTTAAAAAGTCACGGAAGCAACCGGAACCCCGTCGTCTCGACTCTATCGGTGTCGACCCCGATCAAATCGTTGGCAAAGTCCTCGTCCGCATTCGCCGGTCTCCCACACATCCAGCTGTCACTCTCCACTTTGCTGACCATACTACTTACCAAGTCCGCGTCGATGGTTATGACCCCATTCATCGTGGCATCCCTAAGGAACTCGAGATGAACTCGGTGCTCACCCCTCTCTTCAAACCCCCGGCGGTCAGATTGTCGTTCATTTGACCATCACTCATGCACGAATGATCAAGTTAAAGGACACAGCCCATGAATGGTCCGAGACAGCGGAGAGTAGATGGAATGTAGAACATCTCGCCCTTGCCCTGAAGTTTGCGGAAGTACCCGCATGGCACTGCGTTTGGGCGACCATGGCAGAGTATGATGGCAATTTCGGTCCATGCACATTTCGGAGCTTTGAGGATGTCTATCTCGCGGAACTACACCCATCATCTCGGAAGCGAAAGTTTCCGCAAAGGCAAAGAAGCGCGCCCCGCGGGACTGGCTTTCCCTCGGGACGTTGATTACGGGCGAGAGAGCGGAATTGGGTGCCACCCCCAACTCATTTCAAAAATTTAAAATTGGGGTTTTTTCTCCACACACACTCCACCACCACACAATTTTGTATGTCCGTGAAGCCCATGACGAAAAGGAGGAAGGAAGGCACACACAACAAAATAATCAACGAGAAATTGGTCGTTTCGTTCCCAATATCACTGTATTTGTACCACTCTTTATTTCCGTCGTTGCTGCTCCATCAAGAACCTTTTATCCACTCTTTTCGGACCCAATTTCTCCCACAACCGGCAATATGAGATACGGAGGGGGTCATTTGCGGGGCTCAGTGGAGGAGGGGGGGGGTTGTATTTATCGTTTATCGTAGATTATCTCTCTCACCGTCGAAGTGAACCTGTCGGGTGGGCACCCGCCCTCCCCCACCCCGTCTCTAACCCCATCCGGACCGTCAGGACTCCTGAAACACGGATTCCCTGACAACAGAATCAGATCAGGGCAGATTGTGCACGATTTTTGGAATGGAGCATCTACTCGCTGATTAAAGGTAGGTAAGGTAAGAGTGACAGCAAAAGCGAACGAGAGCCTCAATAATTACCTTCCCCTAAGGCCTCGGGAGGTGTGCTGTGTTTATCAACGATCGTAACCCTATATGTCCACACTATCGGCGGGGTGCGTCGCAGAGGGTAAGGGTATACACTACTGTTTGTAGGGCTCGCGCGGCAAGTAGGGTTTTGTGCCGTAAGGCAGGACCCAGGGTCCACCATGACCTCACATACTCCATCATCTCAACGAGCTCACCTTCCTCCGACCCACCTAGTGAAGATCATTCGAAGACACCGATAGTTGTTTATAGGCCGCAAGTATGCATGCTGAATCGGGGAAGAGTCCTAACAAACATTGGCGGCCAGATGGCTGTATCTTCAACCCTCCAAGCAGGGATAGCTTTAATAGAAGAACGGAGCCTTCCTTCCCCATAATCACTGACGTACGGAGGGGTTCAACCACCTCACGTCCCCGCAGGCGTGGCCGGCAAGTAAGAGTGGTTCACGACTCCAGCCTTAATCCACGGCTCTCGACCTTTTTGATCCCTTGTTCGTCTCACTCGAATGGAGATACCCGGACCTAGCACACTGGAGTATCGTGAGAGCGCGCAAAAGACGGATCGATCTGTTCAAGTGACTTGGGGCCACGAATAGTGGATGACGCTCAAGGAAGGGCCTTGTGATGTTTGCATGCCAAAATTGGTTGACTGTGGGATCATGAAGTATGAAGGTTAGCTGATGGGCGCAACATCACGTTGGCGCGGGTATCGAACTTATGAGCGGCGCCGTGTGTGCGGAACATAAACGTCGATACCTTGTCACAACGCTAAGGAACGCCCCCTGCATGATTGACACGTCCGCGTCGTCGCGCGAGGTGGTAATGAGTGAAGGGGGTAATACAACCCCCGTAAGGGGGAATTAAGTTGAGGGTGTCAACCTTCGATGTGTCGTAATTATGAGTTCAGAGGTGCCTTTTTCGAAAATGTCCTGAAGGATGTGTTACAGGCCATAAAGTTCGGGACGGCTACGGCTGAATCCTCGGGACTCACCGGTAAATCAACACATTTGTGCCGGGCGGGTGACAAGATGTTTTGAAGGACTGTAGGAGACTGAAAACCCCCAAACTGAGTCTCCGTCTTCATTCCGACCTTGAGGATGACATTGGAACTACGGGTTTCCTCGGCGTCCATCAGCCTTACGTGCCCCCAATAAGAATCCAGAACTTCGAGGTCGTGGCGCTCCGGCTTATAACTGGAATACGTACTTCTACTACCACAGGGGGGAGTGCAACGTCGCGCAAAATACGAGAGTCGCTCTGCTAATGTCCCAGATAGGATGGCTTAGATATCATGCGGGCTGGGCTGGCGCAAGGAAGAGCACCGCCCACTGAATTTCGTGTCATACATGGATGGTGATGCATGCCAGCACTAGACCGAATGGGGGTTACACCAAAATAACGATGATGATCCGTGCGTTGAGCTGAGCACAAAACCAATTATCGCCTCTGGACGCAGGAGAGGGGAAGGGGAAAAGTATTTTAGTATTTGTCTGGGCACTTTTGGCTCTGAGAAGGGAATAGTTTATACCACCTGATCAGTTTAAGGGACTACCGTCGTTCTCAGGTTCACTCGCTGACTCTGACATTCTCTTTTCTTCTTGAGTTGTCCATCAGAAGGTGTAACAAGCCGGGTGTTTGTCCCCGTATACCGCCCTAAAAATACTATGTCTAGTGAATTCTTCCCGGTTCCTTCTTCAACGAGCATGCGTACGTGATGGAAGGAACATGAACATGGAAGGCCTGAGGCTTGAGGGTTTCAATACCTCCGGCCGCCGTATGCCAGTAGGCCGGGTTGTCTGGGAGCTGGTGGCGTTGTGTTGTATTAATCCCGTGTCACTGACCCCCCATGACCTCCACGAAAAAGTCAACCTCTTCAAAGGTTACATTCACTTCTTTGACTCCGAACAATCTTGGCACTGTCCGAAAGTTGAACTCTGTTCTCTTTCCAATCAAATATAGTGAGAAATTCTATAGTGAGATACTCTTACCTGAAGTCGAGGATTTTTGCAAACTTAGTACGTTTATTATCTTTCTTGATCACCTAGCCGTGCCAATCACACTCGCAGTTTATTACAATGACATCCCCATCGGCACGATATGCTGTAGAATCGAAACAAAGGATGACGCTAACCATTTGTACCTATTGACCATGGGAATTCTCGCTGTGCGCCCCTGATACAACCCTGTTACTAGTCCCGATAATGAAACTTTCACTTATCCCTCTAGCCCTATCGATCTCTTGGCATGGGCTCGTATAGCATGGATGTCATTTTACAAGCCGCTGCTGCTCATACCAAACCCAAAATCAATCGGATATACCTTCATGTTCAAGTGTCAAACGATGGTGCGAAGCGATTCTACGAGCGACATGGGTTCAAGGAGAATGGCATCGACGAAAGTTACTACAAAAAAATAAAGCCAAGTGGCGCTTGGATTTTGGAAAGGGAAATTCAACCTTCGCATAGCGAGCCGAACTGATGCGCTTCGCTCTGGGAGTGGACACGTAGTAAGTGGACTTTATGTCTATATTACTGTATTTTCCACATTGACTAAACGCAGAACGGACATTCACAGTATACAGGCTACAAATATACAATTAGGGCGTCTAACACCCAATGATCGCAGAGCACATTATAGTCAGACACTGACACGGTGATACCTATTTCTCTGACGATATGATACGATGAGATTAACAAAGTAAGCGGAATAACAAGTCTGCTGTTTTCGTGAGTCGCGGTTCGGTGTAAACGGATACGAAACTGCTTACGATCGAGGAGGGTGTTAACAGCGTCGCAAGTTCATTCAGGATTGCTCCTCAAAGCCACACCGTTTCACAAGCTATATAAGATGAGTTAGGCCGGCGATATTCAGCATAAGGATGAGCGAACCTGGTGTCTCTTCAACGCGTCCTTCCTCGTAAAAGTCTTGCCGCATCCTCCATTACACAAGAACGGCTTCTCGCCGGAATGTGTCTCTCGATGCCGCTTGAGGTCATGCTGACGATTGAATGAGAGTGCGCACATGTCGCAGGCAAATGGGCGCTGAGGAGAAGCAGGATATTGCATCTGATCAATGCCTTGGAGCTGAGTACGCGTCGAGTCGTGCGTGTTATATGTGTGGCTTGACACTGAGGTCGAGGTATAAATTTGTTGTGGAATCGACATGGACCGGTTGTGGGTGTAACCTGACCTGGGATCTGACGACGTCACACCGTTCTGGGATGAATACGGCGGAGATGATGGGGAAACACTGTGAGAGGACTGGCTATTCGTAATTGGGGATTGGTAGGGTGAGTGCCTGGTGGTTGAGTGATAATTCTGCTGAGCTGCCATCGCAGAAGGTTGAGCACTTGTCGTGCTGTACGAATAGACTGAGGGGTACAATGACGCTGACAGTGTGGGGGAAACAGGTGGTGATCCCTGTGCTGTTGTGGTGTAGTAGCTCCCATTCGAGGTGGGGTAAGGCATGCGTTGTTGACCCGACCTACTACTCCATTGTGCGATAGGGTAGGTATTATTGGGCTGCTCTGTGGTGGTGTGGCGCG